TTTATTTATTTATTTGAGACAGAATGAGAGAGAGAGCGCACATGAGAGGGGGGAGGGTCAGAGGGAGAAGCAGGCTCCCTGCCGAGCAGGGAGCCCGATCCCGGACTCGATCCTGGGACTCCAGGATCATGACCTGAGCCGAAGGCAGTCGCTTAACCAACTGAGCCACCCAGGCGCCCTAGTTTTTTTCCTCTTAAAACAATTCTGTGATGAACATTATTATGCATAATTTTTTTTTATTGTGCATAATTTTTTAATGGTACTTAGGATTATTTTATTTGCATGGGATTTTAGGCAGCTTGCTAAAACTCCTATCAGAGAACAATAAAACAGAAGCACCTGGGTGGCTCAGTTGTTAGGCGTCTGCCTTTGGCTCAGGTCATGATCCCGGGATCCTGGGATCGAGCCCCGCATTGGGCTCCCTGCTCGGCAGGAAGCCTGCTTCTCTCTCTCCCACTTCCCCTGCTTGTGTTCCCTCTCTCGCTGTGTTTCTCTCTGTCAAATAAATAAATAAAATCTTAAAAAAATTTAGAAAAGAAAACAATAAAACAAAACGTTGAAGAAATCATAGGGAGAACATAAGAAGGGTAATAGTGTAATCGAGTCAGAGGTAAAATTAAATTAAAAATTTCTGTCCATATATGCTGTTGCTTGAAGTGGAATAATCAATTTACCTCTTAGCTTCTTTGCAACCAAGGCAGGGATGGAATCACATTAATATTTGATCGATTCTGAATGTTAATGTTGAAACATCTTTACGTTTTTTAGATTACTTGGTCATGGTGCATTATGCTTAAATATTATGCAATATTTTATTTTTAATATATATTCATGGTGAAATATGTATGTAGTATCTTTTTTTTCTTTTGTTGGACTCTCCTATTAGGTTTATTCTTGCTTCATAAAGGTAATTGGGTAGCATTTCATTTTTTTTAAATATCCTGAAATTAATATAACATAAAAATAATCTAGAAAATGCGGAAGAACTCAGTGGAAACATTTGAACCTTTTGGGAAGGTAATTGTTTGACAATTAGAATTTTTTCTTTTCTATAATATTACACTGTATGTTAACATTCAGCAAAGCAATCCTTAGCCTCCCTGACCCCCTCCCCCAGCAGCTGGGATGAGGGCAACCTATGCCTCATGGG